TTTTCAATTCTTTATATGTTCTAGATATAAGATCTTTGTCTGAGAGAGACCTCACTGTAATTTTTTTCCCCACTCTGTGGGCTGTATTTAAGCTCTGTTGATGATTTCTTTTGCTGTGCAAAAGCTTTTTAAAAGGTGACATCCCATTTGCTGATTCTATGTAATATTTCCCTTGCAGTCTAGGTTTTATTCATGAAGTTTCTGCCTGCACCTATGTCTTTGAGACATAGGTGCATGTCTTTCTCAAAGACATGTCTTTGAGAAATTGGTGGCCATTTATACCTATTTTTTTTTTGTATTAGAGAACAGTATCTGGAGTTATAGGCAATTTCTAGGAGATTTGTTTGTATCCAGCAATATCAGGAGTGGTATGAGCTTCATGGTGGTTTGCAGCAGGACAATTTCATAGTCTAGGATGAGGTCAGGCACTGAGTTCCATAACCAGCTCACAGATTTGTTGACCCCACAGACATACAGCTACTAGGATGGAATGTTGTTGAATGGGGTGACTTAGCATAGTGAAAATTGTTTTCAGAAGGTTTAGTCAAATAATTGAGAACTCAGGCTGAGAGTTTAAAGCTTAACTCAGGCACTTGGATTTGTGAACCAACAAAGCAATCATTGCAAGGCTTGTAGAGTCTAACTTTATAAGTTACTTGGTAGTCAAATTTCACCTTCAGTGGCCATCATCTTATGGCAAACTTTGACTCTTTCCACTAAAGAGTAACAGGATATTGGTCTCTGTCTCTATTCTTTCTTTTCCCACATGGCCAGTAAACTTAATATATTAATAATGCCCTTTGTCTCTAGCTCTAATTTTTATCTTTCAGTCAATGTATAAATAGAGTCATATCTTTAGTCACATCTAAATAATTAATTTTTCTGGGATGCAACTTTTCTCTCTCCCAAACCATTTTTTCTCCTCTGTTTATGATAATGGTTTTTCAGTAGAAAGTGACTATGGACAATAAATTGATAACATGCAGTAAGTAGCAATAAGGATTAGAGAAGTCTTGGATTTTCACTATCTGGTAAGTAGAGTGAGAAGGACTGTAGTTTTCTCCTTAATATCCTGTCTCAGTAGTCATGATGGAGCTGATTTCAATTAGAAAATTTGCAGTCTCACAAGTTGAAAAGTAGGGAACTAGAAGCTCCTGACAATAGCATTATAAATCTGTGCTTCTGTGAAGCTTGATCCAATATTACTCCCAAGATCAAACTTGCTTCATGATATACCAGTAGTGCCTTTATTTCCACGTTGAGTGAAAAAGCAGCCAATCACTTGTATATGAAGACTCAAAAAAATAAAGTGAACTATATCCTAATTTTCAAAGTTTGAATTCTACATATATTAGAGAGTCCATAGAATTTTAATGATACTACTACTACCACCAATAGTTCCTAGTTTTTTAGGATAACATTTTAATTTTGCTGAGAATGAAATGCAGAGTCCACCAAAAATGCATACATACTTCAGGAAAAGAAAAGCTTGTATGAATATTTTAATACTAAATTCATTGAGACATTAGGAAATTAATATGTAACGTTTGGCCTCTACAAGTTGAACTTGGTGGCCATTAGCCAAATGTTTTTTTTTTTTTTTCTCCGGTACCGGGAACCGAACTCACGACCTTGCGCTTGCCAGGCAGGCACTTTGCCGCTGAGCTAAATCCCCAGCCCCTTAGCCAAATGTTTATTAGTGTGGTGAACTACTGCTTGGGTAATCTTGTTTACTGAGATTGCTGCACATGCTTTTTCAGTTTCTTTTCTAGGGACTAGCAGGGTAGTGGCTTTTCTGTGATATACAACATCCTCTAGGGTCTGCCATACAGGGGTGACATGATCTGTTGAAAAAAACACCATACTAGTTTTTTTTTTTTTCCTGAAGACTGTGTACAATTTGTGGGTGGAGTCTGTCTAATGAAATTTTACTTATGTGTCACCTTTTACTGGGCTTACCATGGTTAATAAGAAAATATAAGATAAACTCGAGGCCTTTATATTTAAATGGTCACAACTAGAGACCATACTCATAAGTGAAATAAATCAAACATACATGTGCAAGCACCGCATTGTGTCACTAGTGTAAAACTTGAAAGAGTTAATTTAAACTCGGAGGTATGATAGACACTGTGAAATGATAGGAAACCACTGAAGAGTAAAGGGCTTCTGGGATGTGGGAAAAGAGAAGGGAACGAAGGAGAAATTTTGTATGCATGTATATACAGGATAGATAACATGGTTGTTCTTCTGTCTTCTATTTCTATGCTGAAAGAAACTGTCAATGAGTCTTTGGTTGACCAGTATTGCATGTTTATATCTGTTTTCATGAGAAGCCACTTTGAAGATATCAATATGTAATACAACCACCATTGTTAATTCCCTACCACTTTGTTTGTAACTCTGTGTTGTCTGTATTGTGCTTGTGATATGTTGTAAAATGTTGTATGTCTGTTAATGTTTCCCCTCCTTTTATCTTTAAAATAAAAATTAAAAAAAAATAAAGAACATTCCAATAATTTAACCATGTAAAAAAAAAAAAAAAAAAAAGAAAATATAGCCCAGCTTGTTAACATCAAAAGAGAAGAGATTTCATCTCTATCCTGAATAGAAATGGTGTGAGCATAGTTATTGGAACCCAAAATCTAGTTTAGAAGGTGAATCTGATTTACAACTTGAAACCATGGGGCTGCACACACATTCCATAGATGAGAACCATGAGGATCATTGTAATAAATGGAAGAATAAATTTTTGTAAAACTGAAATCTCAAGTAGATAGCACTTGTTTAAATTGATGGTCTTTTATATAACACAGTGATTGTTTATGACTTGTTTTTCATGTCAAAGTTTAAATGAAACAAGGAAAATGGGTACTAGGTTAATAAAGCTGAACAAACAATACAGACTAAAGTTGAATGACAAGGGTGTTTGCCTTGAAGGGCATTAGTCTTTCAAATAGATTCTTCTATGTAGATTTATCTTTTTTTTTTTTTGGTATCAGGAATTGAACTCATGATCTCATACTTGGCAGGCAGGCACTGTGCCACTGAGCTATATCCCCGGTCCCTTTTTCTATGTGGAGTATAATGTCATCTGCAAATAATGGTAGTTTAACGTCTTCCTTTCTTATCTTTATTCCTTTTATTTCTTTCTCTTGTCTAATTGCGCTAGATATTCTTTACAGAACTAAATTGAATAAGAGTGGTGATAGTGGATATTTTTATAGTATTCCTGATAGTAGAGTGAAAACTTCCATTTTTTTCATTTAATATGATGTACTCTGTTTTTTTTTCATACATGGTTTTTATCCAATTGAGATATAGACTGTCTATTCCAATTTTCTGTAGGGGTCTTAGTCTTGAAAGGATGTTGGACTTTGTTAAATGGCTTTTCTATGTCTTTTGAGATGATCATGTAATTTTTGTCCTTGGCTCTGTTAATAAGACATATTATATTTATTGATTTATATGTGTTGAACCATCCCTACATCCCTCAGATGAATCCTGGTTGTTTGTGGTGTATAATCTCCTTGATGTTTTGCTGCTTTCTGTTCACAAATAACTTATGCAGGATTTTTGCATCTCTGCTTGTTGGGGACATTGGCTTATAGTCATTATTTGCTTGGAACTTTCTTTGGTTCTGGCATCAGGATAATACTTGCTTCCACAAATGACTTTGGGGTATTACTTTCCTTTCAATTTCATTAAAAAGTTTGAGAAGTGAGAGCATTAGTTCTACTCTACATTTCTTGTACAACGGCGTTCAGCAGTCAATCCATGAGAACCTGTGCTTTCCTTTGTTGGTAGGTTTCAGTTACATCTTCAATTTCATTCACTGATATTGGCTTATTTAGAGTTTTTATATCATCTTGATTGAGCTTTGATAATTCATATGTATCTGGGAATCTGTCTATTTCAGTATATTTAATATAGTGAAGTGTAGAAGAAAAGACCCTAAATATCAGGCACATCAGATGTCCTTTTACAATGAAATAATCCAAGTAAAAAACTAAAAGGTCATTTAAAAAAAATTTCCTTTTTTTGGTAGTAGCTAAATCATGGAAACAGGAAAAATGCCCATTAACTGAGGAATGGATAAGAAAAATTGTGCTATTTTTATATAATGGAATGTTACTCAGGTATAAAGAAAGATAAACTCAAGGCTTTTATAGGTAAATGGACACAACTAGTGTCCCTGCTCATAAGTGAAATAAATCAGACCTGCATGTGTAAATACTGTATTATCTCACTAGTGTAAGAAGCTGAAAGAGTGAATCAAATCTAAAAGGTACAATAGATATTATGAAAGGGAAAGGAACTGCTCAAAAGGAAACAACAACTGGAATGAGGGAAAAGAGAAAAGAGAGAAAGAAGGGAAAAATATGCAAACACAGGAGCCTAAGATAGTTGTACTACTGACTTCTATTGCATTATTGAAAGGAACAGTTAATCTTTAGTTGTTTAATCAACCTTACATGCCTATATTTGTTTATCTGAGTAACCAATTTGAAGGTATCTATACGTAATACAACAAGCATTGTTAATTTCCTATCACTTTGTCTGAAATTTATTGCTTGTTTTGTTTTTGTGTTATTTTGTAAATGTGTCTGTTGATCTGTTTTGACTTTTTAACCTTTAGAATAAAAGAATTCACTTTTATTAGTACATATTTGTATATATCTATCTATATCTATTTATCTTTCTTTTCTTTTTTTTTTTTTTTTTGGTTTTTCTCCGGTACCAGGAACCGAACTCACGACCTTGCGCTTGCCAGGCAGGCGCTTTGCCACTGAGCTAAATCCCCAGCCCCAAATTTTTCCTTTTTTTTTTTTTTTTTTTTGGCAGTACCAGGGATTGAACTCACAACCTTGCACTTGCCAAGCAGGCACTTATGCCACTGAGCTATATCCCCAGCCCCTCTATTTATCTTTCTATCTATTTGTCTATCTATCTATCTATCTATCTATCTATCTATCTATCTATTACATTCCTCATGGGAATTTGGTCCATGCACATAACATACCTAAATTCTTTTTTTAATACATATTATCATTCTAAGTTCCCAGGCCTGCCTGGTAGATGGTAAATTTTTCTGCAATGAGGATGTCATGAATTACACTTTCTATTCAAAAGTTGTTGAAGTATGTGGAAGAGTAAAAATCTCTCCCCAGTTATATTTCTTAGCATATTTGCAGTTGGTTCTTCAGGGAAACTGCAGAGCTCAGCAGATACAAAACTGGCTGTGAAGAGCTGTCCTTGTGTAAGAAGAAATTTCCATTGATTTGTTTTAGTAAACAGTGGATGCAGGCAGAGGCTTTTCCTAGCTGACACCTCCCCTTGTGCCTGGGAAAGATCTTTTCCTAGGAAGAGACTGGGAACCTGAAACCTGAGTCAGACAGAGATGACCACATGTGGCTGTTACTGGGAGACTTCATCTGTATGGGAAGACACCTTTGCTAGTTTTGCGCCTTCTACATTCTATCTCGGGAAGAGGATTTACAAACATTTAGCTTACAAGTGACTTTTATATAATCACTTTCCCTCATATGATGAATGGGTGAAGCATAATAATATGTTTTTCACATCATGATCTTCTGTTGATTCATGTATTTATTTTAGAGACATATGATGGGGGTGGAAAGGGAAGCATCCTTCACCTGTATAACAGTTTGAGGAGGAATTTAAGTCAAGCAAGAAGAGCTAAAATACAGAGCAGACCCAGTAGGACATAGTGTTTAAATGTTGATTTACTTATGGTCTAATAGATCTTTTCTTCACACGATGCAAGGGAAAGTTACCAAGTATTGCTCCTGGGTACTGCAAGAAGGACAACAGCATTAACAGCAATAAACAGTAGCAGCTTCTTTTTTAAAAATAGCTCATTTGATATTGCAGTAGGCATTTAAAATGTTTGTGCTTCATGTTTTTAGTTATGTAAAACTTAGGGGGAACATTTACATTTTCTATGCCATCCAGCCTAGTTTAACCACGCTAACCTTCAGGTTTTGCCACACCAATTTACTCATTTAAACTTGAACAATAAAAACAGAGGAAATAAGAGGAGTGGATCCAATCAAGTGATTTTTGGGGGTTGTGTTGGGGATCAACCTCAGGGCCTCATACTTAGCAGCTAAGTCTCCTATCTCTGAGCTATAGACCCAGATCAATTGAAATCTGAAGTTAATGCTGGCATTCTGCATTAAGAATTTCCATGTGATGGTTGTTCTTCTGTCTTCTATTTCTATGCTGAAAGAAACTGTCAATGAGTCTTTGGTTGACCAGTATTGCATGTCTATATCTGTTTTCATGAGAAGCCACTTTGAAGATATCAATATGTAATACAACCACCATTGTTAATTCCCTACCACTTTGTTTGTAACTCTGTATTGTCTGTATTGTGCTTGTGATATGTTGTAAAATGTTGTATGTCTGTTAATGTTTCCCTCCTTTTATCTTTAAAATAAAAAAAAAAGTAAAAAGCTACTGGGGTCAGGGAAAAGAGAAAAGAAAGAAGGGGAAATTATGTATGTATGTATATACAGGATAGCTAACATAGTTGTACTACTGACTTCTATCACTTGAAAAGTACAGTTAATGATTACTTGATCAGTCTTGCATGTCTATATTTGTTTTCCTGAGAAACCACTTTGAAGATATCAGTATGTAATACAACAACCATTGTTAATTTTCTACTGCTTTGTCTGTAATTCAGTATTGCTTGTATTGTTCTTATGGTATTTTGTAAATGGATGTTTGTTTGTTAATATGTTTTCCTTCTATTTTTAAAATAAATTTAAAAAAAGAAAAAAAAAAAGAATTTCCATGTGAATGTGTCAACTATCAACATCATCATCCTTGCAATGTCTTCTTTGGCAATCTGGGTGAGCTATAGCCTGAAAGACAGAAACTTTTTCACATTCTATTGATTTTTGAGTTTTCCTGGAATTGCTTTCTAAGATTGTCTTAGTTACTTTTCCAGTCACTGGAATGCAATCCCTGACACCCACAAATTAAAGGAGGAAAGGTTTATTTCAGCTCACAGTTTGTAGAGGTTTCAGTCCATAATCAGCTGACCCTAAGGCCAGGCAGTGTGGTAGAGGGGCATTGCAGAGGAGAAACAGTTCATGGCATGGTAGGCAGAAGGCAGCGAGTCTGCCTTCCATCTTTCCCTTTATATTCCATCAAAACTATGAGCCTACTGGTGGGTGCCACACATATGCAGGGTGGACCTTCCCATTATCCACACTCAGAACTGTGCCAAACCAATCAGTGCACTAATTTAGTTATCATATACCTTTAATCCATTTAAAGCACCCTAGATCCATCCACCTCTGAAAAATCCTACAGATGAACATTAGACTTAGGGGAACACCTAGTTACAAGTCACATATCTATCTTAGAAATCACTAACGCACTTGTATACAGATATAAGTACAAACACAGAAGCATACAACTGTTTCTCTATGTTGGTATACACACATATATAGAAATTTACAGTTAATGTGCTTTAAAATTTGCTCTCTGAGGGCCACTTCCATTCTCTTTTTATGCCAGATACTCCTGTGCTCTGTCCTTCCATGGCCTGATTCATACATACTATCTGCTCAGCCCACTACTCATATCAGGCACTTTGCCTGGGGAGTCAGCTGGTAATTTCATGGTTTCCTAGGGAAAGTCTCCAACTTAAGACTTTTTGATGTTTCTCACTACACAAATTTTTAAAGAGGTATTATGCCCTGCCAGAACCTGAAGACACAGAGTTCTTTTTTTTTTTTTTTTTTTTTTTTTTTTTTTTTTTTTTGTCTATTTTTCTATCACTCATAAAACTGAACACCTGGATAAAATGAATTTTGGGCTCCGGCAATGCTTAACCAAGCCTTCCTTTTGCCTGACAAAAGTTGTTCTACAATCTGAACTTTCTCACTCACCCTGGATCCAGAGTGCAGAGATCCATGGATTCCTTTAAGTCATACAGGCATCTCTAGAGTGAATTCAGTGTTAACATACGCTACATGACAGTGTTCCCTAAACCTCATTCTAGATAGGTTTTGAATCTGTCCTTTCCTTCTGCACTCCTACCTGAGAGATGCCTCATGAGGATTTCCCCTGCTCCATTCAACAACAGTGTGGCTGTGCTCCAGATATTAACAATTCTAATGGCTTTCAAAATGCACATTTCCTTAGCCTTTGATTTCCAGCATAAAGACATAATCAGCAGCCAAGAAACACCGGGTCACTTTACATATTTCTTCTTATTCCATTTATATGAAATAGTTTCAAACAATCTCAGTGGAAGTAGACACTAAATACATGAGGTTTTCCTCTTCGCTATGCATCCTCTTCTGGGAAAGTAGTGGTAGAAAGCACTGGTGGTAAGTTAGAAAAGATAGACTTGCAAAGATAGACGTGCAAAGATAGACTTACCTCTACTATGAATGGTGGTGCTTCAATAACGATCTCCATGAACACCTTCTGTTGCTGTGAAAAGTGGCAATAGTGTTAGGTGAAAAGAATTCCTGGGTTCCTCTAGAAAATAAAACATGGTGTTGTACTTCATTATGAAACATTATGTCCTGGTCCTGATTTTCATGTACATGTGCATTGGTGAGCTGCTAGAACTACAAAGTCTGGCTTTTACTCTTTGCATTCTGGGATGCACTTAATTCACTTTATCTGTGGTCATACACTATGTGGAATGCTCATTCAGCTCTGAAAATTACCAGTGAGTAATGAACTTGAGAAAACAGTGTTAATTCTGCCACATGCAGAAGGTCTATTCTTATCTAGGTACTTTCTAGTGTAATGTAAGAGCTGATTTGTTTACCATTGCTCAATGAAAATAAAAAATGAATATGTGACTATAATAAATTGTCATGCATAAGCAGCATTCAGAAAGGTGTCATCGTCTCCACAGCTTTGAATTTAAGAAACAGAGAAAAATGTCTCCTTACATGTCTTTGAAGGAAATCAAGGGTCATAGGGGAGTAAGAATTATGATTGTTACTTCAACAAAAATTTGAGAAAAAGAGTAGATCTAAGTAGAGCCTTATTTCCAAACCATCATCAAGTTCAGATTTAGACTAGAAGTGTTAGATAGATCAAAGTTGTAAAAGAGTTGGGGAATAAGTGCATTAATTTGTGCGTGTAAAATTCTCAAAAGTTGAAAAGATTTAAAGACTCACCACATCAGTATCCTTTGAGGAGGTGGAGGTAGGATGGTCCTCTAAATGAAGAAAAGAAGAGTATGTAATATTTTAGTGTAGCTTACGGTGGAGGCATTGGGGTGAGTTCTAACCTAAGAGCCACACTAGGATTAGTAGTACATAGTCTGTCTGTAACCCTGTGAGGACATTCTCACTGATAATGTTTTGTGTCAGCAGTCACTTGGAATAAGTGCAAGTTAATCTAAAGCCAAAAAAAAAAAAGTTCTTAAAATGGTTAAAGTTACAGGTGCTTTATCTACATCATGAAAACAACTGCTGAGTCCCATGTTTATACAGGACAATGAGTTGAAATGAAGGACAATTGAATCTATGTTATTGTTGTGTGGAGAGTGTTATTGAGGGATGTGATATTCAGATGCTGACTGGAGTAGAGACTTTTTTTCTCAGTTGAGTCCATCTCAGCTCTGTGAGCAAGTTTCTTACTTACCTCTTTCTACCTCTGCCATGAAGATTGTATTTGGGTCCTTCAAATTCACAGGCATGAGCAAATCAGACCTCCTGCCTTAGGACTCTTCATTTGGATAGCTAATAATTCTATGATATATCTTCACTATTAAAAGCCAGAAAATAAATTTACTTTATTGCAATTGTGTCTATGGTTTGAGAGTAGGATCAGTGGAAAAAGATGTTAGAGTGAATATTGAGACATAATAATTGATTCCTTTTCCTTTGATTAATTAAGTCTCATTCACTATGTGTTTAAAAATTGTGTTATTCAAATAGTCTCTGCAATTATGGAAAATGCTAGATTTATATGTGTTCATCTATGTCATTAGTGGTAGCAGGCATGGTGTAATCCCTGCACTTGGGAGGCTGAGGCAGGAAGATTGCTGTGAGTTTGAGGCCAGCCTGGACTACAAAGTGAGGTGAAGGCCAACCTGAACTGCATAGCAAGACCCTGTCTCAAAAAGACAAAAAACAAAACAAAACAAAACAAAACAAAACAAAACAAAACAGTGGTAAGAGCTTCATGGTATTGTATAGCAGGAGAATCTCATAGTCTAGGCTGAGAATAGACACTGGGTTCCATAACTCGATCACAGATTTGTTAACACTGTGGAAATACAGCTACTAGGATGGAATCTTGTTGAGCAGGGTGGCTCAGGATAGTAAAAATGTTTTCTGAGGCTGATGTCAACTAATTGACAACTCATACTGAGAACTGAAGGCTGAACTCAGGCATTAGGGTTTGTGACCCAATAAAGCAATCATTGCAAGGTTTGTAGGCTCTACCTGGTAGTCACGTTTCACCTTCAGTGGCCATCACCTTATGTCAAACTGTGACTCTTTCTATTACAGAGTAATAGGATATTGGTCTCCATCTCTATTCTTTCTTTTCCCACATGGCCAGTAAACTTAATGTATTGAACTCAGGATCTTGTGCTTGCCAAGCAAGGTGCTGCACTTAATGTTAATAATGCCCTTTATCTCTAGCTCTAACTTTCATCTGTCAGTCAACATATAAGTAGAGTCATACCTTTAGTCACATCTAAAATGACTTATTTTTCTGGGATGCACCTTCTCTATCTCATAAACGATTTTCCCCCCTCCGTTTATGATAATGGCTTTTCAGTAGGAAAAGACTATGGGCAATAAATTGATAACATGCAGTGAGTAGCAATAATGATTAAAGGAGTCTTGGAGTTTTGATTATCTGGTGAGTAGAGTGAGAAGGACTGTAGTTTACTCCTTAAGATTCTATCTCAGGAGTCATCACACAACTGATTTTACTCAGAAAACCAGCAGCCCCACAGGTTGGGGAGAAAGGAAATAGAAACTCTTGTCAGTAGCATTGTAAATCTGTGTTTCTGTGAAGCTTGATCTAATATGACACCCGATATCAAGCTTGCTTCAGGATACACCAGCAGTGGCTTTATTTCCATGTTGAGTGAAAAAGCAGCCAATCACTTGTATATGAAGAATCCAAAATTTTAAAAATTAAGTTGAATATATTGTAATTTTCAAAGTTTGTATTCCACCCTGGAGTCACCTTGTGTTTTTTCACTCATTCTTGTCATGGACATATATGAGAGGTTCCAGAGAATTTTAATAATACTAATAATGATAATCATCTTCATCATTATCATCATCATAGTAATAATAATACCAACAGTTCCTAGTTGTTTTAGGATAACATTTTAATTTTGCTAATAAGGAAATAGAGTCGCCAAAAATGCATACATACTTTAGGAAAAGAAAAACTTATGTAAATATTTTAATACTAAATGCATTGTGACATCATGATATTAATATGTTACCTTTGGCCTCTACAATTTCAAATTGGTGACCACTGGCTTTTAAATGTTTATTAATATGGTGAAATGCTGCTTGGGTAACCTTGGTCACTGAGATTGCTGCACATGATTTTTCAATTTCTTCTCTAAGGCCTAGCAGGGTAGAGGGTTTTCTGTGACATACAACATCCTCTAGGGTCTGCCATACAAGGATGACAGGATCTGTTGAAAAAAACACCGTACTATTTTTCTTTTCCTGAAGAGTGTATACATTTTGTGGGTGGAGTCTGTCTAATAAAGTTTTCCTTATGTGTCATCTTTTATTGGGCTTACTGAGGTGAACAAGAAAGTATAACCCAACTTCTCAGCATCAAAAGAGATGTCATCTCTATCCTGAGTAGGAATGGTATGAGCATAGACCCAGAGTGAATGTACTCTTCAGTACTTTTGCCTTAGTCATTGGGCCCATTCATTCTGGGTCTATTCTTATACCATTCATACTCAAGATAGGGATGACGCCTCTTCTCTTTTTTCTTTTTTGACTCAGAGGCAGTAAAATCTAAAGCAAACATATTAGCAAAGGAAATAGAATACTACATTGAAAGAATGATGTGGTATGACCAAGTAGGATATATCAAGAAATGTACACAAGATTCTTTGTAGAAAATCTTAAGAAGAAATATTTCAATATTGTATCAGATCAATAAATGAAAGGAGAAAGATCATACTAATAGATTATTTCAACTAAATAGATTTTCTAAAGGTCATTATTAGGTTATAATAAAATTCTCAATTAAATTCTAAGAAAAAAGGTATTCTTAATTAAAATAAGAAAATGGAAGGATGAGCAGCAGAGAAAGAGCCTTTCCAAGATTTGGTGTCCCAGCACTGGAATAGAGCAAAGCCAGGAAGAGAAGAAGGAGGGAAGTGGGTCCCCAGGATCCAGGAATGAAGTGAAGTGAGAATTGAAGCCCGCAATGAGAGCAAAGAGTGATACACCACGATACAGAATGAGGTGGAAGGCTGTGCTTTTGACCTGAGCCATGACTCCCTGCATGGGAAGGGTGGATGGCTCAAGCCTGCACAGAGGCCTCTATGGATAAATGCACCAGTGAAATCAAACAGTGGATGTAGCACAGTGCAGTGGCCAATGAGTACTTCAGGTTTTTTTTTTTTTTTTTAATTTATTTAAAAGAGTAAAAGAAGGATAACATAGTAATAGGGGGATTTACCAAATTACAAAGTGGTAGGACATTATCAATGGTTGTTATTTTACCTATTGGTAAGTACTTCAGGGTTAGACACTCCCCAGGAGAGGAGAATTGGCTGGTTTTTTGGAGAGGGGCCAAGTGAGCTCAGTAATCAGAACAGCATCTCCATCTAGTGGCTCCTTGTGTTAAGGTGTGGCTGCCCAGTTCAAAAGGTGGGAGGTCAGTGAGCTGAGTTCAAGCTTGCAGGATGCACTTGCGGTGCTGGAGGTTGAACATATTCAGTTACAGCCTTACAGCAAGAAACCAGTCTGATATTCAGTGGAACAAAGGTGAAAGTATGCTGGGATTATCCACTACCCCACTGTAAATCTATGGCTAGCTTGCTGGCATTAATCAACATGGATCTAGATTCTGTCTACCCCTGTTGTCTACTGTCACAGCAGAAACACACTTTGAAGTGGATCTATTCCTTTTCATTTTCTTCTTGTGTTTTTCTCTTTTCTTGTTTTTGTATTCATTGTTTGTTCTTGTTTTTATATGAGTGCAAACACAATTTCTAGTTTTTTGGTGTGTTCTGTTCTTGTTTTTATTTGTTTCTTCTCTCTTTTCCTTATGTCTTCTTCACCAATTTCCAAAAGTTCACAAACTCTTCCTTTGTCTTCCATCCTTGCTTCTAATCTCTTCCTTTCCATTTCTCCCCTAACCCTTTTTTCATTTTTTTCCCTCTGGGGATAAAACTGCAATTTGAGAGCTTATTTACTGTATACAATTTTCTGTTCATTTTAGATCTTCTTGTATAACCACAAATCTAGTTCATATGGTTAAAATGACAAACTAATGGTTGTCACAATTTGTTATTTCCTAAGCTGTGTTTCATGCTACATTATTGCTGATTGTACTACTTTAGCCAAAGTGACATAATTGTTCTAATCAGTTGTTCTTCTTGGTGTAGCAAGACTGAGATTCCCTAAGGGTCATAAACAACACTATAGGCGAGTAACAAACAACCAGGGCCTAGGCCAAATAGGCAGCAATTTCCCATGCCCAGTAAATTGAAGCAGTCAGGTCTTGCAACAGACTCAAAACCAAAAAGTCTGCTATAGCTAGAAGACACTTCTAAGTGGTACTTTCCTAAGGGTTCTAAATACTAGCAATAAAGCTACTTACCATACACAACTTACAAGCATCAACCCAGGTATTAAACTGAAAAAAATAGAAAATTGGAATACACTTAAACAAGAGACAGCCCCAGATTTACGGGTTACCAAAGGCAAAACCATGGAGCCATGATGTGGAACTATCTGAAAGTCATCCACATGGCCTCTCTGAAATGGTAACAGTGGAAATAACAGAGCAGATGAATGAGACTCTACAAAAAATCAAATCAGAAATAATTTCTCAGATGTCTACAGTGATAGTGACCATACTGAAAGACAGGGTTAGTGTCTCTAGAGAAGATACATCTAAAAAAATACAAGAGCTTAGGAAAATGATGGAAACTATGAACATCCAACATAGGAAAGAAACGTAATCCATGAAACAGATTCAAATAAATTTCCAGGAATTAAAAATTCCACTGAAAATATATGAAGCAGAATTAACCAATTAGAAAACAGAATTTCAGATCTAAAGAGAGAATTGCAGTTAGTGAAGAGAAAGATTTCTT